GTGGGGGAGAGAACGTAAGTACAGTTGAGGTGGAAGCAGTTTTGTTTAGCCATCCAGCAGTTCTTGAGGCTGCAGTTGTTGCACGCCCAGATAACCATTGGGGACATACTCCTTGTGCATTTGTGAAATTGAAGGAGGGATTTGATCATCTCAAAGCTCAAGACCTAATCGAATTCTGCCGGGATAACTTGCCTCATTATATGGCTCCCCGGACAGTAATTTTCGATGATATACCAAAAACTGCAACTGGAAAGATACAGAAATTTATTCTCAGAGAAAGAGCAAAGGCCTTGGGGAGCCTCTCTTGAACAAGCTGTAACAAGTGTAATTGGAAGGTAACTTGTAAGCAAGGAAAAATTTAAGAAACCAAGCTATACCATTGCATTTATATATGCTTAAGGTTCTCTAATGAAGCTACACTAGCATTGCATGTTTGTTGTAAATTATATCAAGGGAGCAGGAAATAGTACACCATAGCTCATGTAGTGGGATGTGCAGGATGTTGATGGACATCAAGGCGGATAATGTAGGGATTAACAATCGAACCGCAGTAGAGGTAATTTCCAATCTTGATCCCACTTGAAATGAGAAACAACTCAGGATCATAATAGTGAGCAGTAGGTTCCCCATTCAAATTCACAGCCAACACACCAGCATTCTTCTCCAAATGCGGTCTGCCTGCTGCATACCGCTTCACGATTGCCAGAACCTTTCGAATAAAAGGATATCTAAGTGCTAGATCCCAGTATGGTGTAACCTCCTGCCAATTTGGCATACAAAATGTCAATAAACCATGAAAAAAAAAATGCATCCTTGTTCCATTCAAAACAGAACAACTGATGTGATTTTTCAGAAAACAGAGAGAAAATGAAGATCACCGTGGCCAATGCAATCCAGTACTGGCCTTCCCCATCATATCTGATATTATCGGGCAAGCCTGGCAAATGGTCAATAAAATTTTCTACACTCCCTTTTTTACTGCCTTGTAGATAGTATTTTCTACACCTTCTCCTGCAATATTAACCATTTAAGGCAGTAAAAAACTTTGTCCATACTTTAAGATTTAAAAAAAAAAAAACATAAGTCTTTAAGTACTAAGAACTTACATGACAGTTTCACAGAAGACAACGAAGTTTTGATCTGGAGAGACTGCCACTCCGTTGGCAAAGTAGAGGTTGTGGACCAGAACTTTGGTCTCTTTGGTTGTTGGGTTGTAGCTCATCAATCTGCCATGGGGTCTGCCCCCTAAAATATCCGAGATGAAGTCTTTTAAGCTGTATTTGTGTGAAGCATCTGTGAAGTAAAGCATGCCATCTTGTGCTACATCTACGCAGTTTGGTAGCTTGAATTTTACACCCTCGGCCTCATCTGTCAACAGTTCTACTGTTCCGTCCTCACTTATCTTCAATAGCCCCTGATTGAAAAAAATAATAATAACAAAAAGAAAACAAAAAGAAATATTGATATAAGTATGAGGCCACCTCCCTCTTACAATATGCACATGAGATTCAGGACCTACATTTATGCATGTTGTGAAACTGTAGGAAACTTAGGTGGGGAGTTGTCTTGCCTGCGAGCTTTGTCAGTGAGAAGCAAGTTTCTATACGAGTTTTGTTCATAAGACCCTACTCTCAGAAAAATTCATGTCAGGTTATATGTCTGATTAACGTGACAGTACGGATGGGTTACAAATTGTTGTACATGCATACACCGTAGCAGCGGGACCTACGTGCATGTTGTATGGACCTTACCAACTGAACCTCATTGTTACGTTTTTGTTTTTGTTTTTGTTTTTTTGGTAAGAATCCATGTATACTTAACTTTGACCAAATAATAAACATGAACAAATTTAATATGCACTGATAATTAGGATCGAGCTGACCTTTTCTGTGTCAGCCACAAAGACCTCGTTCTTATGGCCGTGAGCGAGTCCAAGCGGCCTCCCAC